TGTGTGTGTGAGTGAGCGTGTGAGTGAGCGTGTGAGTGAGCGTGTGAGCGAGCGAGTGTGTGAGAGTGAGCGTGTGAGAGTGAAAGAGAGTGAGCGTGAGCATGTGAGAGTGAGCGCGTGAGTGAATGTGTGAGAGTGAGGGATTGCGTGAGTGAGTGTGTGCGTGAGTGTGTGCGTGAGTGAGTGCGTGAGTGAGTGCGTGAGTGAGTGTGTGAGCGTGTGTGAGCGCAAGAGAGCGTGAGTGAGCGAGCGAGTGTGTGAGAGTGAGCGTGAGAGTGTGAGTGTGTGCGTGAGTGTGTGCGTGAGTGAGTGTGTGAGAGTGAGTGTGTGAGCGTGTGTGAGTGAGCGAGCGTGTGTGAGTGAGCGAGCGTGTGTGAGTGAGCGAGTGTGTGAGAGTGAGCGTGAGTGTGTGAGAGTGAGTGTGTGAGAGTGAAAGAGAGTGAGCGTGAGCATGTGAGAGTGAGCGCGTGAGTGAGTGAATGTGTGAGAGTGAGGGATTGCGTGAGTGAGTGAGTGCGTGAGTGAGTGCGTGAGTGAGTGCGTGAGTGAGTGTGTGAGAGTGAAAGTGAGCGAGCGAGTGTGTGAGAGTGAAAGAGAGTGAGCGTGAGAGTGTGAGTGTGTGAGAGTGAGTGTGTGAGAGTGAAAGTGAGCGAGCGAGTGTGTGAGAGTGAAAGTGAGCGAGCGAGTGTGTGAGAGTGAAAGAGAGTGAGCGTGAGCGTGTGAGAGTGAGCGCGTGAGTGAGTGAATGTGTGAGAGTGAGGAATTGCGTGAGTGAGTGTGTGAGAGTGTGAGTGTGTGAGAGTGAGTGAGTATGTGTGTGTCCCCACAAGGATAGTAAAACCTGACATTTTTTACATTGTAGGGACCGGCCTCTGGTCCCCACAAGGGAAAAAATGATTAAAAATAGTAAATTATGTTTATCTGAAAGTGTGACTGTGTGAGACTGAGTGAGTGTTGGGTAAAGGGTTGGGTTAGGGGATAGAAAATATAGTTTGGTCAGTATAAAAGTAATAGAAGTCTATGGAAAGTCCCCACAATTCACAGAAACAATCGTCTGTCTGTGTGTGTGTGTGTGTGTGTTTCAGCCGGTGTGCCGTGTTTCGGCCGGCGTCAGATCCCAGCATTCAGCGGCGGTGGTCTCTGATGATGAGCGCTCGTGGACGGGACAGGAGAGTCTGTCTCAAGACGACCCCGAGATGTGGGAGCTTCTGCAGAAGGAGAAGGACAGACAGTGCCGAGGACTGGAGCTCATCGCCTCCGAGGTGATACTCCACACCGCTTTCAGATTAATCGCATTCAATGCATGATTAATTCATTGAATTTATCACAAATTAATCACACATCAAATTTGGCTGAGAAATTACCCCCTAAAAGATAATTTAAAAAGTCCTAGAAGGCCAGTAGGTGGCGTTGAGTCATTAACTGCATCCCAAATGATACACTATACGCTATGTATTTATGCACTATGAATTCAGCTATGTTGTGTATGAATTTTAAAAGGTTATTTTGTCAGTAATAATTGGAGTCTGATAGCCTCTCCCCCTTCGCGATGCAATTAAAGCTGCGACAGTTGAGTGAATGAAGTGTTCAACATTCCACATTTCGTTTTTTCGGTCATTTAAGTGCATCATCCGGGTATTTAAAGTGCACTTTTTCTTGGAATTTTCAGTGTGAACACACTACTCACACTATTTATTCTACAAAACGTCATAGAATAGTGGGCAAGTACGCAATTTGGGACGCACCTACTGTCTCAATGAGTGAGTCGTTGAATCATTCATTCAACCAATTTGCTCAAATTGCTGATTCATTCGAAGTGACTGTCTTTATTAATTAATCATTGACTCTCTAACTCGATTCATTCAAATGGCTAAATCATTTAGAAAACTGAGCAAGTGACTGTCTTTATGAATGAGTCACTGAATCATTGACTCACTTGATTCATTCAGACAGCTTATTCATTTGGAAATGAAGCAAGTGATTCTTTATGAATGAGTCGTTGAATCACTGACTCGCTTAATTTATTCAAACTGCTCAATCATTCAGAAACTGAACAAGTGACTGTCTTTATGAATGAGTCACTGAATCATCGACTCACTTGATTCATTCAGACAGCTTATTCATTCGGAAATGAAGCAAGTGATTCTTTATGAATGAATCAATGAATCACTGAGACACATGATTTGTTCAAATGCCCGATTTTCTTGAACTAGTCACTAAATCATTGATTCACTCGATTTGTTCAAATATGTGGATTCATTCACTAATGAATCACCACTGTGTTGATCAGAGATGCTCAACAGTTCTGCTGTGTGTGTGTGTGTGTGTGTGTGTGTGTGTGTGTGTGTGTGTGTGTGTGTGTGTGTGTGTGTGTGTGTGTGTGTGTGTGTCAACAGAACTTCTGCAGTCGTGCGGCTCTTGAGGCTCAGGGTTCGTGTCTCAACAACAAATACTCTGAAGGATACCCAGGAAAAAGGTGTGTGTGTGTGTATTTTTTGTTTATTAATTTATTCATAAATGCATTTTAAAAACACTGTTTCATAGTTTTTGAGTAAAATGGATTTTAATTACTTTAAATCCAGCTGAAGAGTCTGTACACTCTTAAAAATAAAGGTTCTTTATTGGCACGAATGAATTCTATGAAGAACCTTGAACATCCATTAAAGAAAAGGTTCTTTAGATTTTTAAAATGTTCTTCAAAATGACTCTTTTAGGAACTGTTCACTGAAAGGTTCTTTTGGGAACCAAAAATGGTTCTTCTGCAAAAACACCCTTTTGGAACCTTTATTTTTAAGAGTGTATAAAACACTGCGGCAGAAATCACTCACATGCTGAAAAATGATGTTCCTCAAGCTTCAGTTTTTGCTGGAAATGGTGAAGTGATTTAATGATGAAGCCATCGGGAATCCTGATTGAGGATTGGAGATTAAGACTTAGATGTTCAGGAACCAAAACAAATGTTTTACACATTTTTAGAAGGATTTTCATGAGCAAATCCTTATTTATTTATTAATTCATTCATTTATTATTTTCTTCTTTTTTATTTTTGTTTAGTTTTATTTGTACTTTTTAGAATTTTTATGTATTTACATTTTTGTTTTTAATTTAGCTATTTTATTTATTTGTATTTATATATATGTATTAATTTGTTCAATCATTCAATTTTATTTTTTTAATTTATCTTTAATTTATTTTTATTTGTATTTATTGTTATTTTTATCATTTTATTTACTTTTACTTATTTATTAATAATTTGTTTTTTATATATTTTTTCACTTTATTTCTATGTAATTTGTCTGTTGGATGTATTATTTTTATTTTTATTTATTGTTATTTGTATCATTTTATTTACTTATTCTACTTATTTATAATTCATTTGTTTTTTTTTATATTTTTGTTTACTTTATTTTTTTTATTGTATGTATTTTTATCTGTATGTATTGCTATTTTTATCATTTTATTTACTTATAATTAATTTGTTTTTTATATTTTGTTAACTATTTTATTTAATTTGTCTATTGTATGTATTATTTTTATTTATTTCTATGTATTGTTATTTTTATCATTTTATTTACTACTTTTACTTATTTATTTATAATTCAATAGTTTTTTTATATTTTGTTAACGTCTTTATTTTTAATTTGTCAGTTGTATGTATTATTTGTATTTATTTATTGTTATTTTTATAATTTAATTTACTTTTACTTATTTATAATTAATTTGTTTTTTTATATATTTGTTTACTTTATTTTTATTTATTGTATGTATTATTTTTATTTGTATGTTTTAATGTATTTATGTATTTTTGCTGGTTATGAGACTGATGGTTGGTAAGTTGATTGGATCAGTAGTCTGATGCAGTTCTTTTATTTTTTGCGTGGTGTGTCTCTGTGTCTGTGTGTGTGTGTGTGTGTGTGTGTGTGTGTGTGTGTGTGTGTGTGTTGGGGCTTGTGTGTGTGTGTGTGTGTGTGTGCAGGTATTTGAGAGTATGTGTGTGTGTGTCGTGACGTGTGTGTGTTTATGTGTGTGAGAGTGTGTGTTTGTCGTGACTCGTGTGTGTGTGTTTGTGTGTGAGAGTGTGTGTTTATGTATGTGAGAGAATGTGTGTGTTTGTCGGGATTTGTGTGTGTTTGTGTGTGTGAGGGTGTGTGTGTGTTGGGGCTTGTGTGTGTGTGTGTGTGTGTGTGCAGGTATTACGGCGGTGCGGAGGTGGTGGATCAGATCGAGCTCTTGTGTCAAAAGAGAGCGCTGGAAGCGTTTGACCTCGACCCGGCGCTGTGGGGCGTCAATGTTCAGCCGTACTCTGGATCTCCGGCGAACTTCGCTGCTTACACAGCCGTCCTGAACCCTCACGAGCGCATCATGGGTCTGGACCTGCCCGACGGCGGACAGTGAGTGACCCTCTCTCTCTCTCTCTCATTCACTCGCTGTCTCTCTCGCCCGTGTAATAAATCCTGTGTTTCCGTCAGTCTCACTCACGGATACATGTCTGACGTCAAGCGGATCTCGGCCACCTCCATCTACTTCGAGTCGATGCCCTACAAACTTAACGTGAGTTCACATCACGCCTGACCCTCCCTCTGGCTTTAGAACCATAGTGACACTAAATATTAAAAGCCTAATAAAGAGTCAACCAGTGTGTGTGTGTGTGTGTGTGTGTGTGTGATGGATGAGTGGTCAGTCTCCTCTCTATGGGAGAGATAATAGGAAATCGACAGGCGGCCCTCGGACACAAAAACACGCGCACACACACACAATTCAATTCAATTCAAAGAGCTTTATTGGCATGACAAAAATAAATTTTGTAATTGCCAAAGCATTAAGACAACAAAGAGAATGGTTTAACATCTGGATATTTACATTAGAACATCTGAACATTTATTTATATATTATAACTAATATGTAATATATAACTAATATGGAAATGTCATATATATCCATAGATACATATAGAAAAAATAAATAAAATAAAAATTAATTATAATAATAATAATAACGATTTTCCTGTAGCAACTGCTGGACTGAGATTTGTAACATTATGTACATGTGTAACAGTACTCACTCACACACACACACACATACTCACTCTCTCACTCTCTCTCTCTCACACACTCACACACAGACACACACATACTCACTCACACACACACTCACTCACACACATACTCACTCTCACACACACACAGACACACATGCACGCGCTCGCTCACTCACACACACACACACACACACTCACTCTCTCTCACACACACACACACACACACTCACATACTCACTCACACACA